TAAATTTGACTCATAATAAAGAATACAAATACAAGGCAGCATATTACACTTTGGTTTTTGAATTTTGTCTTAAATTAGACTGGAAAACAAATGAGTGCTTTAAAAAGATACTGTATTTCAAAATAGATTATGTTTAGCCTACATCTGAAGCAAAGCACAGCGTTTCAGAAATGTCTGTCAACAAATACCAGAAACAATCATTTGAACTCCCAAAGCACCAAGCAGAGAAATAAAGTACATGAAAGTAACATCTTTTGCTTTAATGAGCAATGGCTTCAGTTTCTGAACACATAGTTGGAATGGATTCTTGACTACAGAAAACAAGAAATCCAATTAATATTATTTCATTTCCTTAGATATTGTATTATATGCTAATGCATGCTTGCATTATATGTTAGTGCATGTATGTAAACAACAATTATGTGCATTAGAGAAGTTACTTTAAAGCATTTAAGTTGTCTCAAGAATATTAGCACTTAGTTACAAAAGATTTAAACGTATTTTGCAGTTAAGAACATAAAATTAAATTAAAATGTGTATGCAGAGCATACATACATTGGAAAACATAGGCCTGCTAATTCTTCTTGTAATGGAATAAATAGTAAAGCTATTTTTGGAGGGGGGGTGAGTATTCTGAGGAAATGTGTCTTACTATCGTAGTGGTAATAGAAGCTCATTTAAAAAATTCTCATATTTCTGAGTTTAAAATTTTGTATTTCATGGGGACTGGCACAGTAGACTAATGGCTGAAATCCTTGCCTTGCATAAATTGGGACCCCAATTGGGTGCCAGTTTGTGTCCTGGATGCCCACTTCCATCCAGCTCCCTGCTTGTAGTATGTGAAAGTGGTTGAGTATAGCCCAAAGCCTTGTGATAATGCACACATATGGGAGACCCAGAAGAGTCTCCTGGTTCTTCACTTCTGATCATTTTAACTCCCACAGTTGTAACCACTTGGGAGTGAACCAGCAGACAGAAGATCTGCCTCTCTGTCTCTCCTTCTCTCTGTAAATCTACTTTTCCGATAAAAACAAATAAATCTTTAAAAGGTTGTATTTCATTTAAAACATGATATATTGGATCTGGCGTGATAACGTAGCAGCCAAAATTCTCTTCTTGCATATGCCGGGATCCCATATGGGCGCCGGTTCTAATCTCAGCAGCCCTGCTTCCCATCCAGCTCCTTCTTGTGGCCTGAGAAAGCAGTCGAAGACATCCCAAAGCCTTGGGACCCTGTGCCCATGTGGGAAACCCTGAACAGGCTCCTGGCTTCGGATTAGCTCAGCTCCAGCTGTTGCAGCCACTTGGAGAGGGACTCATCAGAGGGAAAAATCTTCCTCTCTGTCTCTTCTCCTCTCTATCTGCCTTTTCAATAAAGTAAATAAATCTTTAAAAAAATGATATGTCAGCAAGCATAATTTTTAAATGTGTTATATTCATATCATAAAGTCACTTATGTTCTTATATTTTGCATATCAAAAGGAATACATATTTAATTAGCTATATTATATGGATCATTTTTCCAGATAAAAAATATGGAAAGGTTGTAACTATAGAAACTGACACCAGGCACATGGTGATCAGTGTAAGGCTAACCAGTTTTTGAATTATTGTGAAGCCAGAAACACCCGGATTTGTACTTTCTGGCCAAATGGATGTGAAGCTATGCATTTCATCTGTTCTCTCCAGTATTTCTTTATATACACTTGATGCTGCAGTTTTCCCATATACTTTGTTTCTATTTCTAGAAACATATAGATTACAGCTAGAACCAATTGGATCCTAATACATTTGTAAACTTGAAGGGACCTAGATATACATCACTCTTAACTTTTATATTTTTGTAAAATTATCTCATACTAATATACGTAATGCATATTTTATATGCATATACTTTTTATCAATTTTCCCATAGGTAAAATTTAATTGACTATAGAATACAAGAAAGAATAGAAAGAATAGAAGTGACTTTGAAAATTGTTATATATGGGGATAAGTTTCAAGAGCTGTGAAAAATAAAATTTTGATACACATTTCAAACAAACCAGTAGATCTCTTTAGTTTCCCTCTCTTTCCTCATCACTTAGAGATGTATCTATTATTTACAAACTCTAAATCAAATGTCAATCTCATAGAAGTTTATTTATGTTTAGTTTTTTTTTTTTAAAGATTTATTTTTATTATTTTTCATTGGAAAGGCGGATATACAGAGAGGAGAGACAGAGAGGAAGATCTTCCGTCCAATGATTCACTCCTCAAGTGAGCGCAACGGGTCGATACTATGCCAATCCGAAGCCAGGAGCCTCTTCCGGGTCTCCCACGCGGGTGCAGGGTCCCAAAGCTTTGGGCCGTCCTGGACTGCTTTCCCGGGCCACAGGCAGGGAGCTGGAAGGGAAGCGGGGCTGCTGGGATTAGAACCGGTGCCCATACGGGACCCTGGGCGTGAAAGGCGAGGACCTTAACCACTTGTGCCACCACGCCGGGCCCTATTTATATTTAGTTTAAGCAAATAATAGTGTGGGTGGAGCAGCAATTGAGGTGCTGTGGGATATCCAGCTGTTGCAATGTTAATGTTGTTTATTGGGATACCAATTTGTGTCCGGACTATTCTGGTTCGAATCCACTCTCCTGTGAATGCCCCAAAAGGCCAAAGAAATATGACCCTGGTGCCTCAGCCCTGTCACTCAGATGGGATACCTAGATGGAATTCCTGACCACTGCGTTTGGTCTTGCCAAGAGCTAATAGATGGATTCTATAATCTGATGCCTACAGCCTGCGAAACACAGGACTGGTATAATATCAGTATTTTTCCTAAGACTGCAATGTGGGCTGATGGTCTCAGCCCAAGTCTGAGTTTAGAAAGTTGGGTCTCTTTGCTTCTCAAATAAAAACATGAATTAATGTTGTAAAGATTAATTTTATGCATTTTTAAAGTCAGACTACAGGGGAAAAAAGTGATATCATGTATTAGTTCAATCCCCAAATGGCCTCACTGGCCAGGGCTGGGCTTCACTGGGGTCTCCCAGCAGTGTGCAGGGGCCATGGACTCACTCCATCCTTATCTACTTTCCCAGAAATGAACAGGGAACTGGACCAAAAGTGCACAGCCAAGGCCTGAGCTGGTTCCCTAGGAAATCCTATTGCCGCATGCAGCTGCTTAAGTATGCCACAGTGCCAGGCTCCCACTACAAGTTTATTTATTTTTAACATTCAAATGATATAAAATGCATAAATATTTAGAAATATCAAACGTATTTGTTCAGTTTTGTTCAACACAAGGCCAATTCAACACCAGGAATCAGGAGATTCTACCTGCTCACCCTAAGGGTACAGCTGCTGAGTACTGCAGCTGGATTGCAACTGGAATTAAATTGGCAGGACTTGAGTTGGCAACTGTATAGGATGCCAACAGGCAGCGTGTTTGAATTTTCTGCCACAGTCTTGACCCAAGTTGAAAAACATGTATATTTATGCATATCATGTGTAAAATCAAAGAATCAATTCATATTTGTGTGAATACATATATGCATAAATGCATATAACCTTTAATATCTTTCATACAAACCTACGTTTACTTTCTATCATTGGCGGCTGGTCCGAAGGTAGTGAGCCATCATAATTGATTGTTCACTTTCTATTATTGGCATGACCTAAATTCTGCTAATTTGCAGACAATGGATGCCAGACTTTAGTTAATATTGAATCGACTGTGGCAGTTATGGAAGTACACCACTCATGCATCCCTATGAGGGAAAACCTACGGGAAACCCATCAATATCTGATTTATACCACCTGAGAATCCACCACGGTGTTGCAGCTATGCTCCCTCTGAGCTGCTCGACTGAAGACTAAGCCAGAGGTGTGCTGGATCTCTGTCCAGTTTGCCGCAGGCAGAGTTTCTCTAACAAGCAGGCTCTGCTTTGGAGGTCTCTGTTGGCACAGATGACTGTCTCATATCCGCATCAAAGACGGAAGCTCTTTCAATCCAATGCTTCTTTCTTGCCAGTGTGTTCACAAGTGTCAAACATGTGTCACAGCTGTAAAGGCTCCCTAGGCCTTGTCCTTCTTTCCATGGAATTTCACAGAATTTATTATTAGTAAAATGTTTTCACTTCGAAATTAGTTTTGGTATCTGCTTCTCTGCAGATTTGGACTGGCACATTAACTTTCATTGTATATAAAAAAAGAATGTCCACAGTTATAAAATTTTGCTCTTTTCAGCTTATATGCTTGCAAAAGTAAATATGGGAAGAAACAATTGAGTGAAAAATAAATTCATTTTGTTTCCCATGTCTGCTAGAGCAGAAAAACAATCGGTGGGTTAAAAAAACCACAAATTTATTCTCTTAATAGTCTGGAGGTTAGGAGACCAAAATGAATGTTAGTTACGGACATCAAACTATTTGCAGAGCTATATATTTCTGAAGGCTGCAATGAAGAATGAGGCTTTTTCAAATTGTCATGACCAGGGGCCAGGCTTCTTGCCACCGCCTCCGTCTTCACATTTCATCTCCTTCTGTCTTTATCCTGCCTTTTTCTTGAAAAGCCATTTTAAGCATACTTGAGGATAACTTCTATTATGTAATATTATGTTTTTCATCTCAAAATTAATAATCTCACTTTCAAAATCGCTTGTGTCAGGTAAGGTGCAAAGTTCGTTGGTTTTGAATGTGCCTTCATTGGTGGAGGGGAGTGTTATCCAGATTACTCTGTCAGCCACACTATTTTAGAATAATTCTAGCTGGAGAAATGTGATGACCCGTGATTATAGCAAACTGAAGACAAATCAAACTCCCAAAGGTCATGCCTATGCCAGTGAGCATCCATAAGTGAGAGACAAAAAGACTCAAGCAGTCGCATTGTATCAACAGGGAGGAAGAAAAGTAATACAGAGAGAAGTCTGTGGATATTGTTTATATTGTAGCGGTATATAAAAAGTAAGTCTTTGAGAAATACTGTGACCAGTACATGCTTGATGTTTTTTTTTTTCTTTTCGTTTTTTAATATGGAACGCTTCACAGATTTGCGTGTCATCCTCACGCAGGGGCCATGCTAATCTTCTCCGTATCGTTCCAATTTTAGTATATGTCCTTATATGTGCTGCCGAAGCGAGCACAATGTTTTTTTTTTTTCTAATTTGAAATCATTATATTCAATTAAAAAGTATAAAAACCTTATCATATTGCTATTAAAATGTTGCTTGCTGTTAGTGCAATGTTGTCTAAGCTCACATAAACAAGTGCAGTAAGAGAAATCCTTGCAGAACACATTTCTCCTGATCTTGCCTGTAAAAGAACATGACCACAGTATTGCAGAGTGGTGTGTTACTCCTGCTTGCTCCATTTCTAAGCCAGTTTTCTGTAAATGTGCCTAGGAAGGAAATAAAAGATCACCCAGGTACTTGTACCTTTGTCACATATATAGGAAACCGGGATAGAGTTCTTGTTTCAAGGCTGCTGAATTTATCCTGACCCAGATTTGGTTTACGGGCCAAATAAGAGATAAATGAGCACATGGAAGATATTCTCTCTCTCTCTCTCTGTCTCTCTCCCTTTCTCTCTCTGCCACACGGTATTTCAAATAATAAATGTCTTAAAGGAAATAAACTGAAGATAAATGAGGTAAAGGTCATGGGTTTGAGAATTAAGAGTAAAACCATTTAAGATAAAACAAAACAGTTTTAATTATGAACAAGTTGAAATGCACTTTGCTTACAATTATCCAGTAGTTGTTTTTAAAATATATATATTTTAATAAAAGCAGCAAACATTTGAAGTGACAAACTGAATCTCTAACCTTTGTGCATTTTGTTCATTTGCTTACTTAGAATGAACACTGATAGAACTGGTTTTATTAAATAATTTTCCAGAAGATTACAGAAATCATGACAATCATAGGCAGTTAAAATAAATGATTCAATACTATGTTCATATATCTGTATGAGGAAAGTAAATAGATAAACAAGCCAATTTTATTCTTTCAATCCTATCCCTGGATGTTTGAATAGTCCCCAAAGCAAGTTTTTCAGAAAAGCTTGGTCAGAGGCCTCAAAATGAGAACAATCTTATTTTCTTTTGTTTTGCTTTATTGGTTGACATTTACTAACATAAAATGGCTATTGAGTTAACGGGTATGTGAGCATGATGTGGAGCCACAAAATCTGTTTGTTCTTTCACGAGCTAATCCCTTTTCTCTTGTGCTCAGTAACATAATAGGCTATACTTCATAGGTATGCAACACCAATGAGCACTGTATGGATTGGAATCAATAGCATAATCCTATTAAATTCTGCAAAACAGTTTACTTTATGATATAAAGTAGAATTGTGATTGATTTTCAAAGTAAGGAGTTCTAGATTCAACTCAGACTAGAGAGCTTTTAAAACGGCAACTTTCTCTTTGTGGGACCAGTTACTTCTCTTGGGTTTGTTGACTTAATAAATAATGTTTTCCTATGTGATCTAATTAAAGGACATTGAATTCCAACTTAACTTTTCATTTAACATTGCCTTAGTTTTGTGAAATTTTCTAAATAGAACCCTGAATGCCTACTTTTAGATCTCAGTCTCTTGCCCACAAGACTGTTAGTCAATAATAGCAGTCCTGGAAAATGACAAAATTATTTTTATAACATTTTCAGTCCACAAATTCAGAATTACCAATATTTACAAATAAACAGTTGCTGTTCATCTTGTATGCATCAGCGCAGTAATACTCATTTATGTTGAATTTCTTTCCTTCTTACTTTTTTATTTCTTATATCATAATAAATGCTAAACAATTTTACTATAATCCCTACAAATGCATTGGTCTTGAAACCAAACGTCTAACCTTCACACATTCTTCCATATATGATCAAGATCTCAGGTTGATATCTGATGTCGTTTAACGAACAGTACAATATGCTTAAATTTCCTTTAAACGTCACATTAACATGAAATCATAAGATACAATCCTGTATGAACAGAATTAGAAACAGTAAAATTGGTCCATTCCAGTAAAGAAGAATTCATTAAGTCCATAGAAAATGAAGCAAAACTGGTTCATGATCTTGACGGTGTGTCTACTTCTAATCAGTTAAAGATTTTCTGAACTTCTGATTAAGATCTGATGTCCTCAGAGCTTAACCTGAGAAACCTAATGTTCATTGAATTCTACTTTCTCAAACACAGCTCAAATGCTGTCTGTATGGGCTCAAAATGAGGGAGACATTCTTGCTTTATTTTCAGAAAATGAGTAATGATTTAGAGTGCATTTTTTTTAAAGCATTGAAGCCAGAGGAGGTTGTGTGGGAGACAAACTTATAAGGAAACCTCTGAAAGATAAAGGAAAAGGGATTCAACACATCACAGGAAATCTCCAGCTAGCTTAGGCCTAACAAAGCCATCTGCAAAAGACAGAAGCAGCTGTCAAACTATAAAAGCCATAAGAGACATTAAAATTAGAAATATAACTCAACTCCAGATTAGAAAACCATACATGCTCCAAAAACCAAGTTGTGTAGGAAAAAGAGGATCAGGATTTAACAAACATGTACAAAAACATTTTTTTAAAGCACACAAAATACACAGATCAACAAACAGACAACATAAACCAAATTGTGCAGTACATAGATACATTTGGGAAATGCAATAGTTAGCATTTATCAACATGAGATATTCAAAAAGTTCATATAAATGCACAGAATTTAAAAGATTTTGAGCTAAAATAATATCATAATTTAATTCTATTTCTCATAAACTTCTAGAAGTAACCTCTTATACCACTTTCATATCTCATGATATACTAAAAAAAAATCTTTGAAACTAAAACAATTTTAAATCACATCATTCTAGGTGATATTGTAACTATCTCTTCATGATTTTTACTTACACAGGTTTGGTTAGCCACATATGGTACAAAAATATTAAGCAAAATTATCAGAAATAAACAACTGATAAGTTTTAATTAACTCATTGTATTAATTAGCATTGTTACATGTCGATATTATTTATTGGTGTTACAATCTCAATTTTGGTTGTTTATAGATTTATGACAGTATTCTGTCATTAGAATGCATAGGTTCTCATACTGCTCATCATTTCAGGGATACAAAGAATATACTGATACGCAATCTTGGCAAACAAGGAGGAACCACAGCATATTTTTCTCAAATTAATATACCAAAACCCATAGACATAAACACATTTTTTAAGCTAATCAGCAAATAAAAATTCAAATTCATGAATATGTCTGAGCACTTAAAAAAAATCAGTTGAATATACAAATGTAAATTTATTTCTGGTATCTCTATTCCTGTCTATTGATCTATATGTCTGTTTTATGCCAATTCTATCTACATTAATTATATTTTAATGCACATTGAATTCAGGTATTTGGAAACCACCTACCCAACAAAGGCTTCATATCCTGAATACATCAGCATCTTTAAAAACTCAATACAAATCAACCATTCCAGATGATAGAGAAAAGACATCAGATGATAGAGAAAAGACATCATCTCCTATTGGGTTACAAATGGTCAAAAAATATATTTTAAAAAAAGCTGCTCAACATGATTATCCATCAAGAAAATCAAATTGATACTGAAATGAGTTATCCCCTCATCCCCATTAGAAACAGCAACATTCCAAAATACCAAGAACGACAAATGCTTACAATAATATGAAAAATAGAGATTACTTATGCACTGCTTTCAAATGTAAAGCAGTGCAGGCACTTTGGAAAACAAAATATAGTTTTAAGGACCTGAAATAGACTTGTCATATGAAACCATCAGTCATACTACTGGGCATATACCCCAAAAAAGATAAATAGAATCATTCAAAGATATACCTGGATCACCATGTTTATACAAGCACTTTTCAAAGTAGCCAAAATTTGGAAGCAACAAAGGCATTCATCATTTGAAGAACTGATAAACAAACCCTGGCTTATACGCACAATGGAATGTTATTCAGCTATGGAAGTATGGCATTCTACCATTTACAGATAGAAGCATGCGCTGGAGGACGTTATGTTGGATACAATAGACAAGATCCAAAAAGGTAAACGCCACTGTTCTCCCTTATATGTGTGGACTACATTTTTTAAAAGAAATCTCTATGCATATAAGTATTGTTGCAAATATATTTCTATAGAACTTGTTTAGACTCTTATCAAAAAGATGGTTACCATTCTCTATACCTACAATGTTAGGATACAATTAAATAGAAAAATGATGGACTTGTGATGTTTGTTGAGGGACTAAAGTACTGTTAACAATTTGTTCAAACACTGACTCTGCTAAAAATTGATAAAAATGAAAGTAAACTAATGAATAATTAAAACATTTTATGTTTCTGCTTTTTAATACATGCTTAAACATTTCTCTTACTTTTCATTTATAGTTCATAGGAGTTTCCTCAAAATGCCATTGAAGAGAGAAGCAGCAAAGAGAGATAAACAGTGCCAGCCATTTTCTGAATGTATAGTTAAGCATTAGTCTCTTTAACATGGAAAAGCTTCTGTATCTATACTTACGCTGCTTGAATCTACTTTTGTCACATGGCCATCCACATAGTTTAAACTTTAATGAAGAATGCAATTAGGTAATAGAATGTTTTGTCTGCAGCTTACTACCAAATGATTCCTTAAAACGATTCTATGCAGAATAAGTTGTGCATTTATAGGTGCATATATGTATGTATGTATGATCGAAAAAGATAGTGAGAGAACATACCTGCAACAAAGATTAATGCTGGGTGAATTTAAGTGAAGGGTGTGTAGAAATTCTTTGTATGCGCGTTTAAGTTCTCTGTAAATTTTAAACTAGTACAAATTAAATTTAAAATCTTAAAATAATTTTGTAGTATTTTATTCATCATTGTGTGTCTGTGAAAAATATTCAGCTTATAATTTCGCATATTTAATGGCAGTCTCTCAACAATAACTGAAAAATTGAAAGTGAAAATAAGCTTGAGGAACAGGTAACTTGCTACAACAGAATGACACCACATATGCCTGCATTGTATGTTGGCGTGCTGGTTCAGGAATAAGCATCATTCCTAATTTAACTTCATGCTGTTAATCAACCTTCAGGTAACCAGTGATGACTAAACGA